CTTGATTTGAACTTTTAGGCGTTTATATAAAAGAAACTAAATTTAGAATAAAATTTGCTCTATATGTTATTCGATGTTCTTATGTATCGTCTATATAAAAGAGAAAACACGACAAAATGTGCGCGTGTCATTTTTTATAATTTGTGTGTCATTGTGTGTTGCCCATTTATTATTTATTGTGAAAGCAATAATAATTGTTACCAATTTCAGCTTAACTGATTGAACTGGAAAATAGGTTTTCACTGCGACCACTTCATTACATTGACGATGAACTTCAATCTTGCCAATCTTTTAACACTAAACGAGAAACGAGAGAAAAAACTCATTAAGATATACAATGTATATTCTTTTGAAAAGTGGTTTATTATAACCACGAGTAGCAATTGCTGGAAACATTAGTACAGTACTTCAGCTCCTCCTTCCGACAGAAAAATATTTACCATAATCTTCGTTAACACAGCCGCGATTATGGCATGTCTGAGAAGACGGTTTCTAAGAACAGCGCTTGTTGAATAAGGCAAATCATAGTGCTTCGCGCGCTCACACGGGGCTTTTTCGATGCCATAATCTTCTGAGAATGTTGTGGTAGTATATAAAAAGAAGGTAGTATATAAAAAGTATAAGAAACCTTTTCGCATCACATTATAAAATCAGTAAAGCTATTAAAGATATGATTGCAAGTGGAAATCTTCAAATTTATTATGGTGAATGTCCGATAATAACGAATACGATCCGATAATGAATACGATCCGATAATGTCATGAAGATTTAACTGATGAAAATAATACCGTGATAACAGAATGTTTTCATACATTTCACCAATTTTGTTTGAATCGCTGGATAACAGCCGACAATGTTAAAACTTGTCCGATATGTCGTGAGCGTGTCTGTTCAACTAAACCTTTGTACAGCGGTTATAAAACATGATCGTTTCCGTTCAATCTATCGAAACCTTGGTCTAAGAGTAGTTGCATATGAGTGAATGGCATAGCCACTGTAGCGTTCATTTTCTTACATATAAAACGAGGATAATTTTTTTCCTGTTAAGTTTTAGAATGAACTTTCCCTGAGGAAAATATCGTGGTAATGGTTGCCTAATTTGGCAACGCTGTATATCGAAGGCAAAGTTCATAACTCAATCTCATATAAAGGCAACAATTATGAAAGAATCGGTTACTCAATATTGTTTGAATCACACTTCTTTTTCTTACTCGATAGATGTTCATCATCATCATCATCTTCTCCTTCTTCATATAGATATCGTCACGGTTGATATCATTTTGAATATGTGATGAAGATTCGTCATGTAATTTTTGTTTACTGTTCAAATCCGTTTTCATACAGTTAACAAATACATAATCATTTCCATTTGTATTTAAATCTGTTGTTTTATTTCCATTATTTGTTTTGAATTTTTCTTCATTACCTACATATTGAAATTGTTGTTATAATGGTTTAACATTTGCCTGTTGACGAAAGACAGCAGTTTCAGGTTGTTCAACATCATTATTGTTCTCGTCTGCATCATTATCTTCTTCATTGGAACCAATTAATATTAACGGTTTACTTTTTGATTTGTCAAGTTCAATTTGATATTCGCCATCATTTTTATCCAATTCTTCATCATTCAATGACTGTTGTTGTTGAGTAGTCGACGATAACTGTAAAGAAAAGTGAAAAATAAAAAATTGTATATTAAAATCAAGATAAACAACATACTGAATGAATATAATCATCGTGTCGTTCGTGATATTTATTTGTTTCTATAAGTTTTGAATTTTCATATGATTTATATAAGACCAATTCATTAAATAGTAATTCTGAGATATCTCGAATCAAATCGACAGTACATTCACGAATACTAAATCAGAAATAAAAATGAATATAACTCTTAACGATTACTACTATAAACGAAATATCTCAACATCTAATTTAGACAACTAATAACAGAGTTTCATCCAGAGAATAGAGATACGATATGTACTACTATCTGGACTTCTTAGAATGTCTAAATTCAAAAGAATTCGGCAGATCTTCTGAGATCAATTCAGAGACCGATTTTGTAAAGATTTAAGGTCTACAATTGAATATCAGATTCGTGTGATCAGTGTCTAAAACTATCAGAAAAAAAAATTGTTTTCCATCGGAATAGTGTGGGTAAACAGTTGGGAACATTTTCTTGTTAGAACTTCGTACGTTTTTCCACAATATTTGGCTATTGTTGTTGTTAAAACGGAAGAAAATTGATTTTGATAATTTCGAACAAATTGGGACGAATCTGGTTGCTGTTTCGACAAAAATAATATTCTGTCTTTAATTTCATTTAAAATAAGCAAATTAAATATTTCATTAATATGTAGTCTCATATAAGGTATCAAATGGACCATTATACTTTTAATTTGTAAATCTAACGTTTGAATATCAACGTTATCCAAATCCTTAAAAATAATGAAGAATAAAGAGTAGTCTTCTATTAATACAAATAGATAAATAGATACTTACAGATGGTTTTGTTTCAACATTAAATATAGACGATGATATGTTTTTATGGGTTAAATTTGAATATAGCATCGATGTTGGAGAAAATGGTGTATGTAAATTCTCGTCATATTGTCGATATTGATCAATTATGTCATCATCACTGTTTTGATCAATGTATGAACGAGTTTGTAAATGTGATGATAGTCTAGGCTTTTGTTCGTCAAATTGATCAAATGATAATGGACTTCTATTTTCATCGGTTGACATTTTTTTTTGATGACTATAATCAATTTTATCATCTGTCGTCGATGATAATGGACGTTGATGAATTTTAAATGGCTTATTTTGATTTGTTTCTATATTATCTTTAGAAGAGCGACGATGTACATGACGACTCATAGTGTCGTAATCAGATTGATAATTCATTAATTTTGGTGAACTAAATTGTTCTGTTGTATACATTGCTAAATAGAAAAGATAAAATAATGTACAATTGTAATATTAAAAAAATATTAATTCTTACTATTTTGTTCATGTTTCGTGGGTGTTTGATTTCTATTTAATAAAGGTTCATTATTTTTATTTTCTACATAGATTGTTGTCTGTTTTCCAGTACTTTGACTATTGCACGGTGTGTTACTTGAATTTTCAATATTAATACCATTTGATAGTTGTTCATCATAATACGTTTTGTATCGATTATAACGTATATTTGCCTGTTCATTATTTCTGATTTTAATTTGTCCAATACTGTAGATTGAATCTTCTGAATCATCTCTTTGAAACATACTTTGTGGTTGTTGTGCTTGATCTCGTTGTTTCGATGATGATAAACGTGAATTTTTTGATTGTAATGAATTGATTTCTGATTGTAATACAGCTATTTCACGATACGCTGAATTTAAATTAACAATGAGACCTTGTGTTAGCACTTGCTGTTGCGATTGTTGAAAAACAGGATCAACGGATTTGGATGTTCCTAATTGATAATGATAAATAGATTAAAAATAAAAACCTTTTTTTATCATTATTTCATCTTACCTGGTGGTGTAAGAGATGTTTCGATCATTCGAATATTTTGCTCAATCGTATTATTAAATGGTTTTTGTTCACGTATAAAATTCATTAGACAATGACATATTTCTTTCATTTGTTGACTAAGATCATTTGTTATTGAATTATTACTGATATTTTATGTTTGATCAAAATGTTCAGTTTCAGCCACAATATCTTCCGGTGCATGAAAATTTCCTTGTTTAATACGATAACTTTGCTTATCTAAAATCAACATACATTTGTTTTTAAATGTATTTAATTAAATCAGAGATCAGTAAATAATCTTTACCAGTTTTTTCTTGTTTATGCTCCTCCGCAGTAGTGGTCGACGTATTTTCTTCACTCGATAACCATCTATAGCATTTCTTCTCGCATATCCAGTTGGTGATGCATTTGTGACCGTAATGTATCGCTGAATTTATCTATTAGAAACAACAAAAAAAAATAGATTAATTTATTTCATTATTTAGTAGACCTAGTATACCTTTTTTTGTCAATGAATTTGATGGAGAATGAATATCAATCTTTCTTGGAGATGTTTGCGTATTATTATCCTGATTATTCATCCTATTATGTAATGATGGTATTTGATCTTTAATCGTATGTAAACGTTGACGTGATTCAACCAATCTTTCAATTTCACGATGTTATGCAGCCATTTTCGTATCTGTATAACTGGTTACAGATGATCGGGTTTGTTCCGGTTTTGGTGACAAAACATATGATAATAACGATGTTTTTGTTTGATCTTTCGGTGAAATGTACGAAGATTGATCATTACATAATTCGAAATCATCATTATTTGTTATTGGCTGTTTAACAGGTGTTGAACGATAAGATAACGATTCATCTGGTTGAATTGTTTTAACCAATTGTTGCAATTCTGTCAAAGCTGTTTTTGCTTTCAATAATTCCCTAAAATGTTCACTTTGTTGAACAGAATGAATAAACATGATCAAAAATACATACATGCGTTTAATATTCAGTTCATTTGATAATTGATCTAAATTTTGTGCCTCCTGGTTTTTGTTTTGTCAATAACATGTTTAATTTTAGTGCTTCCGATGATGGAATGGATTGTCCTTCATAAAACATTTCTTCTTTTTCCACTTCATTATCACTATCATCATCATAATCACCATCATCATCAATCATCTCATTTGCTTCTGAATGATAATAATTAATAATTTGTTCCAATTCATCTAAACGTTCTTTGACATGATATAATTCTTTTAAACGATCCGTTTTCTTCGATGATGACAACGGCTTTGATTTGGTTTCATTTGCACTATTTATTCGGCGAGAACGAGCAGTTTCTATCCGCGCATCTTTAGTATCTTAATAATTATGATCACTCCCAACACTTTGCTCACTTACATAAGCATTAGTACGTGATGAGAATTGACGTTTCGGCTGTTGTTGACTGAAACCGATGAATAAAAATTGGAGTCTAATGTAGAAGCAGTTAGTCTCCTAATTTTAGAATTTCATTCTCTTACCTAGACATTATGTATTTATTTTCTTCTTTTTCTTGTTTTGCCAATATGTCTAATTCTGCTCGATATTTTCGATCGTACAATCCTCGTAACAATTTTATACGATTTCTTAATGTTGTTATATCATATACTAAATCTTTTTCAGAAATATTGTTAGATTGTTTTTGTTGTCGTGTATTCTCGATGATATGATCATCACCATCGTCCTTTATTGGTTCAAATCCGGATTTAAAACATTTGATTTTATAACATTTAGATTTATAACATTTGATTTTATTATGTCTCTCAATTTTCATTTTAATCTTTTATTACTTACATTAGAATTGCAAATAATCGTATTATTATTTGAATTTTGCAACAACATTTGTGGTTGATTCATATTATTATGAAAATCTTCATTTTGTTCAACACCCAAGCATGAAATTTCATAAGAAATAAGGTTGCTGCACTTGTAAAACTAGCTTCAACTAGTTGAAAATCGTGTTAGCCAATTGGTTACTAGCTTAAACGACCACTATAGCGCCCGTTAGATGGTGTGTACATTTATGTAGCTAGCTGCAGTGCCCGCTAATCCGCTTCAGTATTTTTACATTTTTTTATAGCTAGTTGCAGCAGGTTATGAACCTAGGATAGCTAGCTGTAGCGGGTGCTACTAGCTTACTTTTCCATGTCTGGGTATTCTAGACAACAACGACACTGTGGAAAACCTAATTACCTGACCTGGATTCGTAAATACCGTTAAAACCGTAAAAGCCGTAATGAAGTCGAATAGAACGAATACGTTTAATGTGAAGTATACGAAGCGACAGAACGATGAATCTTCTCACTTTCGTTCTTTTCATTTCATCATTATGTCTCATTACGAATAGTCGACTATTCATATAACTTAGTTCCGTTCGTTCTCATTCGGAAAAGACAAACTATACTATCACTGATTTATGAGTGAG